GCCATCAGCCAAAGCCACTAAAATGACCTCCTAGGTTACATCTGTCAGTCATAATATTGTTCAGAGAACACAATGTCCAAAAGCCACCGAAAACATCCAAACCTCGCTGCTGGTTTGATGAGTCTCAACTACTTGAATGACAGGGTCAGAGCTCAAGAGTGCAGGTAAGAACAGCATTCTATGCTGTCATCAAACAGTTTTTCCATTAGTTCTTAATTTGGATGCTATCCTGCTTGACAGTAGCCAAGGCATTCTTTGGAGCAGTCAAGTATTCTTCCTAGTGCTTGAATATGCACTGCTATCTGAATGCTGGCCTTAAGAGAGTCACAGCTACCTCCACAGAAGTGCAGCAGAAGAAGCCTTAAGCCAAAGGGACACTGTCAGACACCAAGTCATCACCCTGTAATAAAAAAACATACTGATACAAAGCATTCTTAATAGAAAAAAACTCACTGTTACTGTGAGGATCTGAATACTGCAAAAAAAATGCTTTCACCCACATCAACAGCAGTTTCTTATAACTCTCAAAAACGTCACTCAGCTATTTCTGTACTACTTTTGCACATGCTGCTTAATGTGTCTGACAATGGCCCTCTGAATATAAGACAAGTATGGATAAGCTGCATCTAGGTCTGATTAAACAAAACAAAAATCAACATTTACACAGGATAACCTTTAAAACCCCGAATATTTATCAATGCCAGAAGTAAAAATATTTTCAACATTAAAATCTTTCATTCTGTTCAATGCTGAATATGTCAAAATCATTAAATCATGATGTTTAACATCATAAATACTATATATCACAACTTGCATTCACAATTTAACGAGATCTCATTTGCTACAATGTCAAAATCCTTTGAGAACACAATGATTAGAAGTCTGTTTGTGACACTCCCACACATCTTCAGACAGCAAGAAGCCATCGCTCCCCATCTTCTGAAATAATGACATGGAGCCACAGCACTGACAGGATTCAGATGATCATCAGACTGTCAAATCCTGGAGAAGGACAGAAATCCACAGTCCTGAGCCAAGACCTGGTTAAAAGGCAGCTACCCTTTATTACTTCCATTGGTGGAGAAGCACTTCTAATGAATTTGGGGCATAATTTTTTCAAGTTGGGCACCCACAGGATCCTACCATTTCTTAAAGGTTATAGTAACACTATCACCAATCTCTCCCAAGGCCCTGCAGTTAAACATCCCTTCTTAAACTTTGTTTTTTAAGTTATCCTGCTTATACATGCACAAAGCACAGGTTTACCATACACTCAAGAAGTCTTGTCCCATTTTAGCTAAAAATTTCTGCTGCAGGTTTGTGCATAAGACTTTAAACTCTGTATAGGGAAAAAAAATTATTCCAATACAGTGTTTCAACAACGAGAGAGAAATTAAGAAATCTATTAAAAACTCTGGCAGTTTTGTTCAGTAAAGGTTTTTTTTTTTTTAAGATTTTTTTTATATAAAAATGTACCAAGGAGTAACCATCAAAGAAATCAGATGATACGTATAAAAATAGTTTTCAGTGGCTCTGGAGGGAAAAAAAAATAGCAAAAATAAAAGGAAATAAATGGAAAAAAATAGCAAGTAATAGTTTTTTTTCCTTTCTTTCTTCACATCACTGAGCATCCTCGAGAAGTTGTTCTGGGATCCCCCTAAAATCAGAAAAACACAGCATTAGCTACTTTCTTACTAGCTTTTGGTATTGTAACACTAGACTCTGGTTATGCCCCTTGTTAATGGCACCTTCCTCCTAGCTTAGCTGTATCCAGGGAGCACTGCATCTACAAATGAAGCACATTACTCATCAGCCTGTGCAAAGGGGTAAGACACTGCTACTTTTGCTGCTGTGGTCTTCTGTGACGGGCTGAGTGGTTCATGTCCACACTTTCAACACTGACAAAAATGGCAAATGAAAATCGTATCACCACTGGCTTCTTAACAGGAATTCTCTTCCTTAAGTTCACATCTTTCCTTTCAAGAGAGATCTATGCATGCAAAGCTGCTTCTTGGGGGGCAGAAATTACTTGTGTTTCAGTTGCCTTACACTTCAACTACACTGCTAAATGCAAAGGAAGTTTGCACAACTCAACTTCAAACCTGCAGAGAAATAGTTCTTGAAAAGAGCTATTTGTGGCCACTGAACCAAAGAACCAAGCAGTCAGGTTTGAAATACATTTAAACTATTTCCTAATATTACCTGTATAAAGCATATTTCTCATTTTCACTCTGCCAACAGCCAGTTAGTTTAGTTATCATACAATACTTAACTGAGAGCTATGAGAACACAGGGGTGGTGTTATAAAAGAAAACCGAGTTTATTTCAAATATATACTACCAGAAAATAAATAGAAACTTGAAACAACAGAACACTCTCCATCTCTTGGTTTTTTGAGGTCCTGTTTCCCAATGGTTATATTCTGTTCACAGCAGGAATGCCACAGATACCTTTTCCTTTTTCAGAGAAAGCAATGCTGGAATGGGGAATAACCAGTAACCAATCCAGTGATTACTGACTGCTAAAACTCATCTTACCAACTCCAAAAACAGTCATTGTAGTGTTGTAAATCTCATCTGCAGTGTGCTTCCATAGATACCCAGCATCCAAACTGATATTAGGCACTGCCTGAGCTGTACAGTTACCAATTCAAGCAGCAATTCCTTGAACATTCTTTCTGCATGCTGTAGCAATGCTGCACGGCTGCAAGCTGTTCTAACATCATCTGCTGCAAGCACCCATTCAAAAATGGACCAAGAAACTCGGAACTAGTAAAAACTGAAGGGAAACGCATTATCTCCTGCCTGATTATTCAAACCAGCCAAGAACAAATTAAAAATGCGGTCTATATCTTATTACCTGTTGGTTGAAAAGGTCCTCCTCTCCAAAGTCTGCTTCATCCTCTTCCTCTTCATTCTCCCGCACAATGACCGATTTAGTAACAGTTCTCACTGCAACTTCCTACACAAAGAAAGATGACTACTGGTCCATATGCATCTCTGAGTTTTTGCTGTATCATCAGTATAGCAATCCCATTAGTGTTTGGAGGATAAAAGTCAATTTGCCCCACAATCACAGTTAACTGTATAAGCAAATACTCAAGACCCTGCAAACCACAAAAACATCCCTCATTCCAGCTATCAAAAGGCATCGTGGTGTAACGTAGCTTCAGGAGCTTTCTTTCTTTACCAGGTGTTTGAGAAGAAGCAGGTGCTTGTTAATTTGACAAGCTCACAGCAGACTGATCCAGGAGCTCTCCAAGATGTATTATAAAGTCAGAAATTGAAGTTTCTCTGTATGATTACATAGTATTAAGAACTCTCATTCTTTCTGCTAAATGTTTTGTATCTACCATATATGTCAATTATCAGGAAGGTCTTCCTAATCAGACACTAAAAAGAATTTTAAAACATCAGAAAGCTTCCTTTATTACTAAACTATTTTAGTATTTATTAGTAACAAGAAATTCTACTGTGCGCTTGCAGCCTTGAAATTGCAGATGCAAATTTCTACTTGTGGAACAAGACACCCTAAGCAAGGAAACAACAGCTGCTGTGGTTACCACAGCAGGAAGGGAATGGATTTGAAATGTGTTCAGACAGTATTTTAACTGTTTCTCCAATTTGAATTCTAAGCCAGCTTTCTGTTGGTACAAATGACCCTCCTACTTTGTCCTGTGCTGCCGTTCCTGCACAAAGTGCTTTCATAGAATTGCAAAAAAAATCAGCTGTGGGCAGATGTAGGACAATGCAGAACACAGAGGAACCAAATGGAAATGTCTGCTGTATTCCAAAACTTTTCAAGACAACTCTCTTCCTACCTCTCCATCAGAGTTCACGAGGTATGTGCGGATATTTCCTCCAGTGCCCCAGCTGCCTTGATTCTTCCACACGAGAACAGAAGGGGGGCTGTGAGATACACCTGCATCTGCACCCCAGATCTAGTGAGAAAGACATTTAGTAATCTGCAATTCGTGCACATTTCATTTTTAAATATCCCAAATCTAACTCTCCCACTTTTCCCTCCTTATCAGTTTTGCTTCCAAATCCCAGTGGTTAATTTACATCAGTGCTTGTGGGAAGACATTACTCTCAGTCTGTAACAAAAATTATCACTAGCCATAGCAAGAGGAAAGAAATCTAACACTGCAGTCATCAGTTCTGAACACAATTACTCCCACCACAGCCTCAATGACTAGAGGAGGAACATAAAACGCAGCTTGTATGTACAAATTTCATCTGATACGTATCTGAGCAATCAATACTTAAGTAGAAGTAACTGCAACTGATTAAAGGAAAGCCATTTTTAAAATTCTGCTGCAGACTAAATGCCAAACAACATTGCAAAAAGCAATACTATAGTTAAGGCTGAGAATGTCAAGTATTAAACTTAACACAAGTCTACCGGACTAAATAAACGTTCCTAAAGTAAGGGGTAGAGCAGGATTAAGTATTCCAAACCTCAACAAAGGTGTTTGAAAAAAATAAACAATATTTGCCTCCTCCCCCTTCCCCCAAAACTCTTTTCCAGCTAAATGGCCTTAGATACTGAAGTGCTAATGCAGAAATTGAACTTTTTTTTGCCTTTCTACAACTGAAATCCTACTCCTCTAAAACAAGAACTACAAGTCCAAAAGCTACACACCAAATGTCAGATTTACAGCTGCCACAACATCAACAGATGAACGTTGCTGACACATGAAATATGACTTACTGTTACAGTTTGCCCAGCCCTGAGGACATACTTCGGAGTAAATTTGTAAGCAATTTCTTCTCCATCTCCAATCTGTCTTTTCAGTCTCCAGTTACCCAAAGACTGATCCTAATGAGGAAGAGTTGTAAGGTTATTTATTTAGGGTAAGCAAACAGGCATCAAACCTCTTGCTAGGTCTCCTTATTACATTTACATGGTTGTTAGACAACTGCAATCTAACTTGAGAATACTTTTCCATACCCAGTAATTGTGTTAAGATCATTCAGCAAAAACTTAAGAAGAGATATTTCACACGAAAAAACGTTCTGCCAGAGCCAGCGAGGCCATTCCCAGAAGCAAAGCACCAACATATGCGATTAGACATTCAGGACTATGATCTCATCCTGCAACAAACATCATACCTGTAGGAAAATTCACCTTTCAAATGCTACTTAACTTTTGCAAGACAACATACCTTGAAAGATACTATTTCTCTCAAGTGACATGTGCTCAACAGACAGCATTTCAGTTTAGCTCTTCCTCCTTACGCAGGAGCTCTGCTGACACTCACCTTCTCTGAGTTGTTCTTCAGTTGAACATATTTGCCCTCCAGGTCTATCTCTTCAATGCTGATACTTCCCGTAGCTGAAGCTTGCTGGGACATTTGAAAGCTACTGCTGCTACTGCTACCACTGATACTTCCAGTGCCAATTCCACTCGTTCCACTGCCTGAGAGCTCCTCTGCTTCAATCCGTCGTCTCTTGCCTCGGGAAGAGCGGACAAGTGAAGTGCTGCTACTGCTGCTGCTGGAGGTAGCTCGAGAGACAGTAACACGGGACGAGGGGCTGGGAGAGAGCTTCAGCCTGAAAACAATCAAGTACTTCAATCAAATGGAAGAAAATTAAAATTTTTCTAGCTGATCCACAGAATGACAGACAAAGCAATAATAGCACAAAACACTCAGTAACTAGACTGTAACATGCTTCACTGTGTCTGTCACTGGGACTGCAAATAAAGGAATAAGTCTATCCAGGAAGACGACGTGACATGAAATGCAATGATGGTGAGAACAGCACAGACTGCCTCATCCTCTGCTCCAGTACTTACATTACTAAACACACTATTCTTGTGCCTGATAACTTAAAAACAGAAAAAGACATACGTGTAAACACTTAAATAGAGGAGATGAATGTCAAGTTCAGAATTACATATTCCACTGCACTTTGACACCATAATGAAAACCAAAACATAAGGCAGATATTCAGATGAGAACAGCTGTAAGTGTTCTAAGCATGTTAAGGGTTACATGCAGGACATCACAGTGTGAAGACAACGTGACTCCAATGAAACAAAATCTGAGCATTTCTGTTAAAACTGAACAAAAAAATAAGCATAAAAAATGAAAATAACATTAGTCCTAAGAAAACGGAGCTCATACCTTTCCTCTTCTCCTTCCAGGAGCTTTCGATAAGCACTGATTTCCATGTCAAGTGCTAATTTCACATCAAGCAGCTCTTGGTATTCTGTAAGCTGCAGCTGCATTTGGTCCCTCATTTCTGTCATCTCCCTCTCCTTGGCATCAAGCATCTTCCTAAATTTATCCCGTTCACCAGCCATCGTTTCCTCCAACTCACGAATGCGATCTTCTGCTGCACTAGCCTGGGGACAACAGAAAACCTAGTTAGCATCCATGTGGATGCAACACAGAAATCACCTCCATCCCACCAGAATCACAGAATGGCTTGGGTTGGAAGGGACCCTAAAGACCTCCCAAGTTCAACTCTCTGCCATGTCTTGATTGACCCCCATCAGACCATCCAGCCTGACCTTGAGCACCTACAGGAATGGAACACCCACAGCTTCTCTGGGCAGCCTGTGCTGGGGCCTCACTGCCCTCCCTCTGGGTGAAAAGTTTCCCAATAACATCTAACTTAAATCTCCCTATTTTTAGCTTTGAACTATTTCCCCTTAGTTCTATCACTATGCACCTATGTAAAAGTCTGTCTTTCATCTTGCTTAGAAACTGAAAGGCCACATCGAGGTCTCCCCTGTATCTTCTCCAGGCTCCCTCAGCCTGTCTTTGCTGACCCACTTTGTCCAGGTCCCTTCGGATGGTGTCCCTTCCTTCTCTCACACCAACTGTGCCACTCAGCTCAGCATCAGCAAACTTAGTGAAGGTACACTCAAGACATGAGATAACATTTGTTGGTCTTCCCTTATCAGTTGATGTCATCACTCCTTTGTAGAAAGCCATCAGGTTGGTCAGGCCCAATCTATCCTTGGTGAAGCCTTGCTCGTTGTTTCAGTACCAACTCCTCATCTTGCATATGTCTTAATATAACTTCCAGGAGGATTGAATTCCACGATCTTCCCTGGCACAGCCATGAGGCTTTTTTACCCTTCTTAAAAATGTGAGTGATTTCCCTTTTTCCAGTCACCAGTAACTTCACCAAACAGCCAGGATTTTTTGGATTTGATGGACAGTGGTTTGGCAACCACATCAACCACTTTTTTCAGGATTCTGAGATAAATGTCATCAGGCCCCATAGACTTGTACATGTTCAATTTCATCAGGTTGTCTAGAACTTGTTATTTGCTTATGGGAGGAGGGATTTTGCTCCCAACTGCTTCCTAAAGGTTCAAGGACACAAGAGATGTGGGAAGTCTGACTGGCAGTGAAGACTGATGCAAAGAATTAAATATCTCAGTCTGTTGAAGCCAGTTCTCCCTTCCCATTTATTAGAGGGGGTCCACTCCCCTGGCCTCTCTCTTCTAACAAGCGTACCCACAGAACTCCCTGTTATCCTTTGTTATCCCTTGCCAAGTCCAGTTTCCTGATCCCATCTCTGCAAGTCTGAGCAACATCTTTGCTCTTCATCCATCCCAAGTATTTCCTTCTTACTCCTCAGTTTGACCAGCAGATCCTAGCTCAGCCTTACTGGTTTCCTGCCTGCCCTGGCTCATTTCTTACATGTGCAGATGGAGAACTCTTTCACCCTAACAAAGCGGCCTTAAGAATTTACCAGCTCTGTTCTGTTCCTTTTGTCTCTAGGGACAGATCCCAAGGAACTCTTCCACTGATTCTTTAAACAACTGGGATTTCACTTTTTTAAAGTTCAGGGTCCCGACTTTACTCCTTGCCAAGCCTCAGGATGGAGGAGTCACTGACCCTGGAGGTGTTCAGGAAACATTTAGACGTTGTAGTGAGCATTGTGACTTAGTGGGAAATACTGGAGACTGCAGGAAAGTTGGACTGGATGATCTCAGAGGTCGTCTTCAACCTTGGTAATTCTATGATTCGAAGACCACAAAGATAACAACCACTTCTCTCCATAAAACTCAGAAAATATAAGAGAACAAATCTGAATATATTCAAACATTACAGTGCTTCATATTAGAAATGAGAACAAATGTAGTGCCTTTTACCTGTTTCTGAAGGCCAGAAAGTTGGTAGCTGAGAGATTCTATTCTCATGCGAGCCTCCTTCAACTCCTCCCGAGCTGCACCAGCAGCTTTGTCATTTTGGTCAGAGGCCAGGATGGCATTCTCCAACTGGAAGACAAGTTTTACACAAGTCCCTTGTATTGAGTTAGACATCTCATAAATATACTTGCAGTACTGCATATAAGCTTTTTAATCTTAAATAATTTAAAATGGAAATCTAGTAAGTTTGTGAACCTTGAAGACATACTCTAAAGAAACGAGAACACGTATTTCAGTTCTATTCTTATAGGATTATACTAGCAGCCTTATAAAACTTAGGTTTATGTTATCACACTATCTGCCTGTTTGATGTCAGAATGATCACACAGGCCACCAATTTCATGTTCTAGTCTAACAGTTCTCTGGATGCCCAGAGAGCAAGCTGAATAAAACATTTCATTAGTGCCATATCTCAGCTGGCCAGTAGCAACTTACTGATTTCCTCAGTAAGAGGAAGATCTTGATGCTTACACTCTTTCATGGATTACATTACATCCTAAGTTTCATCAAGGTAGCTGGAAAATGCATATTTTTCATGCTTTGAAGCTTAAGTTCAACTATCTACCACTACACACATCACAGAATCCAGACAGGAACCAAACTGCTCCAATTCTAAGAATAGTTTCAGGCAGAACACTGTTCTTAACCACACAGCACAAAACTTCAAGAAATCAATCTTCATCAACCGCACTGCTCAAAGAGTTTTAAGTAAGGAAGAACACACACTGAGCTTTTGCCAAGATCAGCTCACCCTGGAGAAGTCTGGCAGACACTTCATCTACTTCCACATCATATTCTCCAGTAGCCCAAGATCTCTCTGACGCGAGTATTACCCTGGACACAGACACCAACTTTACCCAGAAACAGACAGCTAAGCCTGTCTTTCCCTCCCCTCCTTATTTCAACTTCATCCATAACAACTATCTTTTTTTTTTTTTTTTTTTTTTGGGGGGGGGAGGAGGGAGAGGGGAAGAGGAACCTTAATTTCTTCTCCTCCTGTTCAAATCTTGTCATTTTTTCTTTCTCTATCTCTATCTACTTTGTAAACAGTGTTTTCTCTACAAAGGATATGCTTTGAATCCTCTTGGACAAGTCAATCCAAGTATCTGGTTGTTCCTAACCTTTCTGAATAATGCCAAGATTGATAAAGGTTCTTTATTTTGCTTTTTAATACCTATTACTTATTTTGTTGCTGCCCTAAGAAAGAGTTAAGTATTTTTTAGATCAGTGTTTCTCAAACTGCAAATCAAAGAATTCTTAAGAGAATCTCAAGGTCGAGGGTGTGGGAAAACAATGTTAGCAGCACCATAATTTCTCCATCACAGGAGAATGAGAAGTGGTTATAATTACAGGTAAGTATTTTCATAACCAGAAAACTGACACCTACTTTATTTTTTCAGGTAGGGTAATAATATAAAAATATATATACTTGTAGCCAGCAACTGTACCAGTAATACTGAGGATACTACTTCCCCCACACTGCCAGCTAAGTTAACTGGGAGTTGCTAACTCGGGATTTGCACAGGCAGGTAAAACAAAACAGTGCCTACGTTTTAAAGAAGTTCAAGGAGCATTCTCTTGCATCAAATTATGCCTCACTATGTTCACACTTCCAAACTGCATACCACAGTTTTCAACACCAATGCTTGTCAAAAAAACATCCAGTTGTCTGATTTCCCCCCCACCAGCCCCAATGAAACCACAAATGCACCAAAAAAAAAAAAAAAAAAGCCCCACAAAAAACCCAAACCACAGAAAAAAACTACTGTATCAGCTATTTTTACTGTATCAGCTATTTTGTGACATCCTCTATTCGCACCCTGTCCTCAGGGAGCAGTAGTTCCACATGTTCTCCTGGCTAGTGCTATTCCAAGCTGTTACCTTGGGCTAAACCTCACTGGAAATGTGCCTGAGACCCGTATAGGAGAAAACACTTGGATATCATCACAAAGCTTGTTCACATTACTACTACTTATCTCCTTAAAGACAGTAGGTCTGATGGAAATGGTTCTATCTCCCTGACTGGACTTTTATCCACCAGAAGGGGAGTGCAGCAGTTACCTTAGCCTGATAGGTCTGCTCTAGCTCCACTTTGTACAGCTTGACTTGCTCATCATGCTGATTTCGCAGATCCTCCAGGGCCTGAGCCATTTTGTGCTCATATTCCTGCTGGCGACTGGTGTCCACTTCAACCAAACGATGCTCATGCCGTTTTCTTGTCTCTCTTATCTCCTACACAGAAAAAAAGAGGACAAAGTCCTACACTGAGGCAAACAGTACAAGCAATTCCATTTAGACGAATATTAATTACTTCAGTACTAATTATTTAGTATTTAGGAACTACAGTACTGCAGCTAAAAGTTACTGCATATATTAAGAGATGCAAGTTACCTTTCTCATTTTGTAAAAAACAATTCTAAAAGGTGAGCAAACTTGAAAAATGGCTGACAAATATTCATACAGAGTTTAAGTAAGGAGATATTTTGTGCTACAATAACTAATGGAGGGATGAGTTTTCCTTCTCAATATACATGCCTAGAATAGCAAGCAGTCTATAAGGAGTCAGATAAAAATCAAATGTTTTGCAACCATTATGTATGCTGAAAATAAACATCATACAGATGTTCAATTTTCACTCAGGCATATGCAGATCTCTTTTTTCTGTATGTTCTATGACCTCCACTAATTAGGTTTTTATAACATTAGTAATAAAGAAACAACCCAAACAAATTCTCTGTGCTATTGCTCTGAAAACAGTTTGTTTTTTTTCTTGTCAGTTTGAACAGAATACTTTTTCTGGTGAATGATGAGATCTCTGTGTCTGTAACACTGGACCTAAGCTACTGAAGTTGAGATTTACTCATGAACTTATTCATGCTGAGTCCTGCAAAGACCACCCAGGTCTGAATGCGTGGTATGAGAAAGAATTCATTTTTGCCTACAGAGTAAGGCAAACTATACAGGAGCAACTGTAAACTCTGTCAGGAGGCCTGAAGATAGAGTGTGGTCATGAGATGGAGCAGAGGACAAGAGAATTAAGGCTTACTTCCCATGCCTAAGCTGAAATCACAGCAGACCAACAAAAATTCAGGGCCACTTTATATGAACTAATTTGCAGAAAGTTCTCAGGAGCAAAAAATTACTTTAATGGCCTACAAACAAGGAAGGGTCTGTCACTTGCAGTTACACACAACAACCCAACTCCTTCATGGCATGGAGGTAAAATAACAATCATAGCTCAGGATGTCTTGCTTCTTTTCCCTATTCCAATACCTGTCCTTAACCGCAGAGCCTTGCCTAACCCCTCCATCTGGTCTGTACACTCATTTTATTCCATGCTAAAACAGAACTCAGCCATTAAACTGGCAAACATTCAACTCAACAAAACAGTCAAAATATTTTCTCATTAATCACGCTGAAAGAGTTTGGTGCATGGTCAGCCAAACATCACACGGGTGAGACAAAGGGCAGGAGTCTGTGGCAGCTACTCAGCAGGCACTAATGGAATGAGTTTGTGCTGCTGAAGAATCAAAGGTCAGAGTTGGTTTCCAAGAGATGGAATAAAACGACCTCACACTTTACAAGAAGTGGCCATACTTCCCTTCTCCATTCCTCCCAACCCCCATCTGTGCATTCCTACTGTTTACAAAACTACTGCTCTACTCCCAGGAAAAAGCAGTTTTTGGTACAGTGTTCTCACCAATAGGAACAGGTTACAGTCAGCTCTAACAGTCACCACAGCTGGTGCAAACAAGGGGCAGGGCCATGCAGTCTGTGTAAAGAGAGGGAATAGGACGTTCCCTCTTATGCAGAAGCATGTTGTTAAGTTAACCCACTGAACAATAGTACCACTGTCACTTGACTTTTATGCCAGTTCTGCCATTGATCTGCTATGCAACTCTTACACAACCTTTAAAATCAGCTGATTCACAGCAAAGATGAAATAATACTGATTTTCACTACCTGGTCTCATTAGAAATTGTTTATGGTCCGTCTGAGTAAGAACTACATAAACTTCAGAATATAATGAGATTACTAGGTTGGTACTACCTCCTCAAACACATTCTTCCTGAAATCCAGATCCTCCTGCAAGCTCTGGCACCGATTCTCCAGGTCCACACGCATAAGTGTCTCCTTCTCCAACTGCTTCTTAGCCACAGCATGACCATCTTCAGCCTGGTAGAGAATTGTAAAGAAAGATTTAATTTTGACTGGATCCCTTTTTACGACCCCTACAAGCCCTTCACAACCTTCAGCTGACATCTTTGGATCAACAACACACAACAGTAAATCTCATCGGAAGCTATTACAAAAGTAAAGAAAAAGAAAAAAAGGAAAGTGCATGTGAGCATGTATGAATACTTAGAAAAGCTTCTGTGATTCTATCCCACCTATATAAAGCACAGGATTATTTCAGTGTAGCTTGATAACGAATCCAAAGATTATTAACTTCTCAAGGATGTACTGCACGTTCTTCTCTTTCTTGACAACACAGCTCCTCTGGATACTTCATCATAAATGTAAAGTTATGCAGGATCTTACAAAGGAGAACATTAAGTAACCAGGAACACACAAATCTTTATGCTATCAATATTTCTAACACACCTCAATACTTAGCTTGTTTTACAGACCTCTTAATTTATTTCCACATCTAAGGAAAGGTTAACCAAAAGGGAGCTGAAGCAATGATGTTCAGACAAATTAAGAACAAAAAAATCCCAACAAATTTCACAAGGAGGAACTCTTGTTGTGCTAAAGCAAGGAAGCACTCACTGCAATACCTTTGCAAGTTGGGCACGCAGATCAGCCACTTCTGCCTCCAGGCTGCGTTTCTCATTCAGGACAGTATTGAGCTCTGCTTCGCTTCTATGGAAGAGTACTTCAAGATCCTTAATGCGACCTTGAGCAACAGACAAATCTGCATCTTTCTTTTTGTAGCTGAAACAAACAAAAGTTACCTATATTTACACATCAGTGCACACACATCTGGAGAATACTCTGGTTACAATTACAGACGTTTTGGTACTATACAATCATTGTACCAGTAGGTGGCTCTGCAGTAATCTGCAACTACAGTTAATTAAAATAATTACAAACCTGGTACAAATTGAGTTTTAGAACAATGTTCTGTATATGTATTGCCCAGCTAACAAGTACATTACCGGATGGCAAGGGCAAAAACAATCCCGCCTGCTGTTCGAGGCATAAAGACCATTTTCTCATCTCATAGAGGAAACATTTGGACTACAGCTCCCAAGGATCAGAGCACATGTATCTCTCACAGAGGCCCACAAGCAGTTGCTTCTCCGCGGGTTCCAGACCAGTACGCCCCCTTCAGTTCCTTCCAAGAACTATGAATCCCTTCATAAAGAAGAGAGCCTAGCCCAGGGAAATGCTTTCCTGTGAAGAAGGATGATGATGACAAATCACTTCTCTTCCACGATGGAGAGACGGAGCATTCTGAGTCTAGAGCCACGACATTACTAGTACCCCTTTAGGTACTGCTGACAAAGGGTAGCTCCTGAGTCCTATAAAAGTTAACAACTATTATGGTTGTCACAGTTGTTATCGTTTCTGTGTCCCAGAACCTTTCAAAGCCTAGGAGCTTCTAACTCATCCCACTGGCCTTATATCTCCTTTTTCTTTCCAGGCTGTTCTCACTCCTAAGGTAGACAAACAATCACAGTATAATTCTAAACATGTAAAAAGTACCACCCGATCTCAAACTTGGCTGTAAGGCAATGCATTTATTTCATATCCCAAAGCCTTTTGGAGCTGATTTTTTTTTGCCCACTGTCTATTTGACAACTGCCCATTGTTTAATAGCTTGGAATGCTTTCTGTTGTTCAATTACTCTAAGTACTAAAAAAATCCAGAAAACATCAGATCAGCATCATACATGTCAGATAAGTAAAAAGAAACAAAATGATCGAAGTATTTGCCAGGGCATTCAAAATCTCAAAAGAATAATCTGTACTCATGGAGAACACTGGGTGACATCAGCTGTCATCATCTAAACGAGCTGCATATACATGGCAGAAAGATAACAGCTCTGAAGTCCTGTACACTGACACGAAAACCATATTCTCTCTATACCATAACCTGCCACAAATCCTTGTGTATCAGCAAAGTTCTTGCTGCTTCCCAACCCTTTAGGGGGTATTGAAGCTTGGCAGGAGAGCAGGAAGGACTTCATCACTAGCTGCATGTCAAGGAACCTTGTGCAAACAGACAAAGTTGTTTTCAAGAACTGCATCTAAAGTTGGGCCATACATCCCAGGCGTGACTTTCCGTATGTACTATACCAGGCACAGCAAGAGTACTGCAAGGGACTGGAAGCAATCTGCTAAAAGAAACTTCCAAGCCAAGAAATAATTCAGTTCTATTATGAACTAAGACGACAGAAAACCTGGCACACTTTCCTCATATTTAGTGCATCTCAGAATACCAAGTACATTTAAAATAAGCTGGTAGAACTACCCTGTCAAGTCCCTGAAGTGACTGATAAGGGACAACTCAACCATCCAAGCACAGGGCAAGGGAGACAACCCAAAAGAAAGCAGTAGCAGCAATATTTCAAGTGCACAATGCTTTACAACAGGGTATTTGTAAAATCTCTCAGCATTAGCAAAGGCCTAAAAAACAGAGATCAACTTGCAGTGATTCTCACTAGCTGGGAAGTGAAGTGAGGATAACTAGAGCCAAATTCCCACAGTTACTGCTGCTGTTCACTTTTGGAAATTGCTTTAAAACACAATCAAGCAAAGTATTTGCTGCCTCCAGGACAACAGAGACAACCTTGATGGCTGTCTAACTTCAAGTGGCACACAATACAGTGTGTGTGTGTGTGTGTGTGTGTGTGTGGAGGGGGAGGGGGGGGGAGAGAGAGACAGAGACAGAGAGAGAGACAGAGACCAGGATGGAAGGAGGCACAACTGATTGTTTTAACATCTACATGTGTGAACAGCCCATCAACTCGCAGTTTATTCATCCTCTGTGTACAAATAGATCTGTGTATATACTAGCTGTACAATCTGAGGAATTCCACTCTGACAAGCCTGCATCGCTTCCTCAAGACACCCACTAAGGCATTTTAAGAGGCAACAGCAGTGTCATTCACACTGCAGATTACCAATTTATCATTTAAAGAAAAAACCCACAATATATCATGTAAGATTTTCCTTACCTTTTATTGAACTCCTCAAGTTCAGCCCTCAGTTTTCCTATTTCAATCTGTAACCTCGCCCTCTCTTTGGCTGTTTCATCCAGAACTCTTCGCGCATCAGCCAGTTCAGACTCATAGAGGTTCTTGATGCCACTGACCTAAAGGGGAAAAAGGTGTTCAGACATGAAAACATTCCCAAGCCTAAGTATCAGCAAACTGAGATTCACAGATTTCACTCAGCTTTCTTTGAAAAAGAGTGTATAATATGACTTCTGTTTTTGAAACGCATTAAATTCTGACCATTTTCAATTAATATGCACCTACATACATATGTGCTGTGATCTACTGTGACCCAGTTCCAAAGACAACACTGAAGATTCATTCCCAGCAGAACGTAACAAAACATGTCTGAAATGTGTGTCTCCCAAAGAGACAGACTGAAGCAGAGCAGCACACCCTGCACAAAGACCTTGAACCATTCACTCCCATTCCACAGACCATTGCTTTGAGCCATTTTTTTAAGCAGCAGTATCATTTGAAAACAAAGTAGGACACGTTTTCTGGAATACAAATGGAAGCCTCATTCAATTCTGTTGCTCCTGTACTATAAAGCAAAAGAAGAAACTGAAATAAGATGAAGTACAGAGACCTTCAGAGACATGCTTCTACTCTTGTTCTCTGCCTCAGACAATAAGGATCTGCAGATCTCTCCCTGTCCCAGCTCAGAAAAAAAGATAAGATAATCCACCATTCAGACTGCAACAAGGCACCTCAAAGTCTTCAACACCAGTAATTCTTTTTAGAACACAGGATCATTTGAAAGGCATTATCAAGATAGCTAAAAATTGAAGGCAAGATTGGTGGCACTGCTTCTATTAAAGGATATCAGAACAGTATTACTGATGTAAATTCAGAAACAGAGCAATCATGGTGTGGGAAGAGCAAAAAGCAGAATATAACTTTAGGAAGAGAAATTTCATAACAAAGCATCAACTGTAGACACAAGGCAACTGTGCTGTTCCTAGGAGTGCCTATTCCAACAGCCCCAATGACAGACTCAACCATCTGGTCTTCAGAAAGACGGATTAAAGGCAGTCAGAAAACAAATCAAGATCCTGACAGTGCATATTTTCATAAAACTTCTGAAATGAACCTAGATGTGACAGTCTGAGAGCTGAGAAACTCAGCCTGCAAGCTCACTACATACCAAAAACGTGGCTGTCAATTCATACAATCTTACTTCTTTTTCTAAAGAATGATTCTTTCAAGACTTATTCCATTTGTTTGTTTGTTTTCCCTCTTCTTCTGTCACAGCTTACAGCCAGAAATTCCCTATGGCACAAGCTAATACAGCTCTGCATTACCAGTTGCAACACTCAGAAAGTTCCACAACGATGTGAGTTATGATGCGCTAAGATCCTTCTTACATCACTCCATCATGCCAATAAAATAATAATGGTGAAGGCTGTAAAGCCCCTCACTGACTGTGAACCTTCATGAAAATACAGTATTTGGAAATCACAATACAAAATCACACACTGAAATACTACATTTGAGGGTGATGTGCTTTTCAGAAGGGATGCCCAGGGCAGGAGCAGGGGAGAAAGCAACATGGTGAGCTGCAAGCAATTCAGGGGACTCCTGGAGTCCATTGAGGGTAACTTCTTGTTCCAGGTATTGCACAGACCAACCAGAGGTGAAGTACTGTTGGACCTGGTGAGCACCAACACAGAGGAGATCATTAAAGAGGATAAGATCAGAGGCACTGTAGCTGCTGTGCCCTGGCTGAGTGAGGGCTGTGAGTTTGGGAAAGAACAGTCAGGGATCTGAACTTCAGGAGAGCAAACTTCCAACTGTTTAAGGATTGGATGGGATTCCTTGGGAAACTGCCCTTAGGGACACAAGAATGGAACAGAGTTGGCAGCTCTTTAAGGATGCCTTCCTGAGAGCACGGGAACTTGGAGGAAGCAGGAAACTCACAGCTGAGGAAGGACCTGCTGATCAGACCAAGGGTAAGGGGGAAGCGCACAAGATCTGGAAGCAAGGATTGGCAGCCTGGGAAGAATACGGGAACACCATCCAAACGTGTATGGTGTGATCAGGAGAGACAAAGTGCACATGGAATTGAACTTGGTGAGGGATGTGAAAAATAACAAGGGGTTCTACAGGTACATTGGTCAGAAGAGACAGGCCATGGAGAGCATACCTCCTCTGCTAATGAGAAGGCAGAATTAGCTCCAACAAACATGGAGAAGACTGGAGTACTCAACAGGTTCTCTGTTTCATTCTTCACAGTCAGTCAGGCTTCCCACATATCTCACGTCTTAAACCTCTACATGTGGGTTGGGGGAGTAAAATCCCACCCTCTGTAAGAGAAGGGCATGTCTGAGACCACCTCACAAGACTGAGTGTATACAGTACGTGAGGCCAGACAATACGCATTCCAGAGAACTGCAAGGAAAAAAAAAATCACAGCTGACTGGGGGTGTCCTCAGAGACTGAAAAAAGAGAACCATCACTCTCACTTTTAAGAGAGGGAGAAAGGAAGGTCTGGGAACCTACAGTCCAGTGAGCCTCACACTGTGCCTGGGAAGAACATGGAGCAGACCATCCGGGAAGAGATGTTATGCACATACAAGACAAGGAGCTGATCTGAGAAAACCTGTAGGTTTCCTTCTATTTGTAAACATCGCTACAAAAAGGTAATACAATATCAACAAGTAGTGAATAATTTATGCTTGATATTCAGAGTACTCCAAACACCACACAGCTTAACAACATCAAAAGGACAACATTCTGAACTGCAAACAGACTTTTAAAGTAACCCCTGTCTTGATAGAAGATAGCTGGAATGAACTAAATATTGAATGATGAAAGCCATTTCAGAACCTTTTGGTAAAAAGAGAACCAGAGACAACACTTATTAGTTAAAAAGGTCTGACTCACCCCTCACTGCATAACCTGTTGTGGCAGCTTAGCATGGATCTTTTCTCCTGTAGCACACTGAACTTGTGCTCTGCTTCTGTTCCAGAAACTTGAATGAAAAGTAAACAGAGCTCCAATGCACAGTTTGTTAGCAAGAACGCCACATACAGCAGCATTTTAAGCTAATGCACTGGACAGACAGAAGTAACTGAGATATGAGGACACTCTCTGAAAGGACTGAAAGAAACTCTGGCAAGTAATTCTGTTGTCTGAAACTGCTGCCCCTGAAGCTCTGCTCTGTTGGGGGAACATAACATTCAGAGTCCGCTGACTTTGAAATCAGAGTAATATGGTCCCCGAAGTGCCTCTAGTTATTGTCCACCTCAAATCCTGCTTTCTTTCTAAACTACAATCACTTTTTAACCTCCTCCCTTTTAAATTTACTTTGCAACTGCTGCTCAGTTTGGTCTCCAGTAGTGACACTTCAAGCCCACATTCTTAAAAAGCTTTTGTTGACCTTCTAGGATATGCCTCATATAGAATTTACGGACAAAAAAAGAAAAATGGCAACAGGACCAGCAGTCAGCATCCACGCAGCAAGGGAAGGAAAAACTACTAAATGCACCTAGCAGCTGTGAAGCCCATTTCTGGTGCTTTGCCTCATCACATGTCTCAGCACTGTGCCACCAGGCAGTGTCTAAATGTCCCCAAATGTCCCAGGAATACTGGGAGCACACTTTTCTCAGATACGACACATTTTGGAAAAGATTTTGCAAGCAGCATCCAGAGTATGGAAACAGCACTGGTATACACAGTGTTAATTAATCACTAACTATAAAGGAAAACAGGAACCATACTGGAGATCAGAGAGGCTGAAAATGCAGTCATTCCAGCAGGTGTCAAATAGTTCAAGCTGTAATCCAAGCGGTGATACCAGAGCTACATTTTATATGTTTGCAGTGAGAGTGTCATGGAGCGGTCAATCTGGTAAGCCATGACAGGAAGCAACTCTTCACTTTCTGCTGCACATGGGATCAGATTTGCCAGCAGATTTGCTTTCAGTAGCCTTGCAGAAGCAAAAGAAACCAAGAAGTAATTACAACCATTGCAATTATGACAACTACAGAAAACAGAGGTATTTGTTAGAGCAACAAAAAAAAAAAAGAAAAGCAGAATATTGTATAAGACATCACTGTAAGCACTTAATCACAGAATCACAGAATCGTAGGGGTTGGAAGGGACCTCCAGAGATCATCGAGTCCAACCCCCCTGCCAAAGCAGGTTCCCTACACCAGGTCGCACAAGTAGGTGTCCAGGTGGGTCTTGAATATCTCCAGAGAAGGAGACTCCACCACCTCCCTGGGCAGCCCGTTCCAGTGCTCCGTCACCCTCACTGTAAAGAAGTTCTTGCGCACATTGGTGAGGAACTTCCTATGCTCCAGTTTCTGGCCATTTCCCCTTGTCCTGTCTCCGCACACTGCTGAAAACAGTCTGGCCTCGCCACTTTGCCCCCCACACCTTAGATATTTATAGACCTGGATCAGGTCCCCTCTCAGTCTTCTCTTCTCAAGGCTAAACAGACCCAGATCACTTAGCATTTCTTCATAGCCTTTCTTCAACTAAAAAAAGATCACATACAAAAGATCACATCCTTATCTCCAAACTGGAGGGATGTGGATTTGATGGGTGGACCACTCGATGGATAAGAAACTGGTGGAAAAGCCGCAGACAGAGGGTGGTCATCAATGGCTCCATGTCCAGGTGGAGGCAGGTAACGAGCGGCGTCCCCCAGGGGTCTGTCTTGGCACTGGTGCTCTTTAACATCTTTATCAATGACATTGATGATACAATTGAGTGCACCCTCAGTAAGTTTGCTGACGACACCAAGCTGAGTGTTGCGGTCGACACGGTTGAAGGAAGGGATGCCATTCAGAGGGACCTCGACAGGCTGGAAAAGTGGGCCCGGGTGAACCTAATGAGGTTCAACACGGCAAAGTGCAGAGTTTGGCACTTGGGCCGGAGGAATTCTAGGCATCCTTACAGACTGGAAGGAGAGGTCCTTGAGAGCAGCCCTACACAGAAGGACCTGGGGGTCTTGATAGATGAAAAACTTAACATGAGCCAGCAGTGTGCCCTTGCGGCTCGGAAGGCAAATGGTATCCTGGGCTCCATCAGAAGAGGGGTGGCCAGCAGGGACAGGGAGGTGATTGTTCCCCTCTACTCTGCCCTTGTG